AGAGAGAGAGAGAGAGAGAGAGAGAGAGAGAGAGAGAGAGAGAAGAAGACTCACCTGGGCCAGCGCCATAGCTGGCTCCGCGGTATCTGCAGTTCAGCCATCGCCAGGTAAGTGCAGAAAGCGCCCAGCTTTCTACTGCTTCTTCTTCTTCTTCTTCTTCTTCTTCTTCTTCTTCTTCTTCTTCTCCTCTCCTCTTCTCCTCCTACTCCTCCACAGTTCTTTCCTCTACTTCTTCTTCTTCTTCTTCTTCTTCGTCTTGATCAGAGTAGAGATAGAGGTGACTGCAGACATTGTTTGGACACGGCATTCTGCCTTATTGGACACGACATTCAGACCGGACTTACACGCTACATTGGGAGTGAACTGTGCACGACATTCGGAGATCAGATTTGGGTTGGACTTGGTTACCTCCTATGTACCTCCCCCCCTTCTCTCTCGCATGTCTATGGATCTCTCCCTATGTGTGTGAGCGGAAGGGCAATCTTTCTAATGTCCTGCCCTTCCGAAGTTTCTCCCTTTCCTGTTGTTGTCCACGTGTCCTCTTGGTTACTATTATTCCGCTGCGCTGTTCCCCAGCCCATGATGATGATGATGCAAATGTGTTGTTGTTGTTTTTCTCGTTGGTTTACTTGTTGCATTGTGCACATTGGCATCTGGTGAATGTTGCATCTATGCTGCTGGTTGTTGCCACTTTCATCATTGCTAGATCCTAGGCTGTTAGTGCATTTCACTTTCTGATATGCAACACATATCGACAGTCACACAAGTGGTCCACTTCATCAAAAGATAGACAGATCAGCAAAGCGACGAACACCTAGTGAATGATTCACAAAGACGAGCAGAGGGCAGGGTCGGTAGGATTCAGCTACTTCGCAACTGTGAACTGCAATCTTCAGCACTGCGAGTACCAGATCGAGAATTGCATCACAATGATGACGGTCATTACAAATAGGCAAGAGCCCAGTTCCCCAATGGCATGAAGAGTGGAGAACTGTAGAAGTGAAGTAGCGAGGCTTCAGGATATTATTCAGCAAAATAGAAAGAGGATCTTATTCAGCACATTCAACAGAAGCATTGGAACTCTCCATCTGCCAAACTGTTGATTTCCAGATTGCCAACGACTCTGGATTGTTCATCCATAGGTGATAAGAAGAACCCCTTTCTTTTTTTTTCTTTTCTTTTCTTTTATCTTTTTTAGGGATCATTTGCAAAATAGCCCCATAAGTTGAGGTATATGCCCAAAAAATGCCCCTAAAAGATGTGAATAGAGGGGAATGCCCCTCTGAAAAAAGAAATGTTTTGTGAAATACCCCTGGCTTCGATTGGACCCCCCGTCTTTGCAATATACCCCTACCGGGTACCATCCAAATTTGCAAAACGCCCTGGTACTCGCCAACTTTTCCAAGGCCGGATTGCAAATGTCCAGGCCCAGATGTTGAGGTCCAGATTGCAAATTTGCGCACCACCTGACAGGGGCATAACAACAAGATTTAGGCCCAAAAGGGCATTCGGCTCTACCCATGTCTTTCACGGGCATTTTGGCATATAGCTGAACTTATGCGGGTATTTTGCAAATTATCCCTTCTTTTTTTTAAGATAAAAAAAAACAGGTCCTTATGGTCCTGGCTCCATAATACTCCATATCCATTCTGGGGAGCGTCAATCCGGTTCCTACTCCCCCAGCAAGTCTGAAAACCCATTTTTCCCCTGCGCCTTTTCTCCCAAATCTGTCATTTTCTCTTTTTCGTGACAGCGACTTGCAAACCAACCCTGTACGGGACCACGCATGCACAGGCTTGTTAATAAACCTTACCCTTATCTGTGACACACACTCTGATGCAAGCCCACAAACAGCGTCCAGGCCTCCAGCTTCCCTCAGTCTCTCCTTAAATATTTGACCAGTCCTCTGGCTGAAGCCTGAAGACCCGCTACTCAGCCCACAGCCATCTGCAATAAAAACATTATTCCATTCGATTGCCATCGAAAATAGTCCCATTCGATTAGCATCACAGCCAATGCCAAGAATCATTGCATGAATACGTAAACTCTGTTCTCTTGCAGCTTACACATCCACGTACACAGCTGTTCGCTTGGACATTAACATTGAGTTAAATTCAGCAGATGATAAGGCTAGAGATGGAGACTTCAACCAAAGCTCGTTCTGATATTTACCGAGGTTACATGTTTAGCATGAGGCCTTACCACCTAGCATGCATGCTGTTGTATGCCGGCTTAATCACGAAGATGATCTGCTCTGTACATGTTAGACCACTGGTATGCTCAGTTAGTGAGGAGTAGAGAAAGAGTATTATGTGCCATTTACCAAGGTTTGACATTCATTCGCCGTACTACGTAGCATGCACTTATCATTAGCATGCCTATGATGCCTTGTCTTTGCGGCCACATTCTGAGCTCGGTTAGAGCGGAATAGTGATCCAACTGCTACCAGGTCCTTGGTCATGCATCAACACCTGTGCATCGCAGCAATCATGTAGGTTTACGATTTTTCCTCGGTGTAGAAAGGTCGCTGGAGGTTCGTAACTTTGTGGGGTAAAGGGGACTGCTGAAAAGAGCAGCCTGTGGCACAATGTGGTAATATATGACCTTGACTGACGTTCATCAAGAACCGCCACATAAGCCTTTCTGCCAAAACTGGTCACATTGGGCAGCACTGCAATCAAAACCGGCACTAAATCTGATGGTACCCCTTCAAAAAGAGGCCACACCAAACCTGGGACTGAGGGGTACAGAAGTGGGATTCGGGGACGAGGACAGATTCCAGAACTTGTCCCATGCCAGAGCACTTCCAGGCATTTTGCGGGTCGCAACCACAACCTACAGGCTACTGGCCAGGAAAATCTCAATTGTGCAGTGCTGAAGGTATCTTGAGGAGAAGACCACCCAGACGAGTCTTGCAATCCACGAACAGGTCTGACGTAAGCGTCATTGTGGGAAACCAGTTGAGGAAACGTAAAAGAGGACCAGTAGCCCTTGGCAGTTCCCAGCACCTCCCCCACTAAGGTCTGATAACAGAGCTCATGTCACATACCTGTCCGAAGATAGGTATGGAGCAGACCCAAGAAAGAGTGGGGAGAAACAACAATTACAACGCAGCAGAAGTCTGAGATGAACCAATCGTGGAAACAGGACATCACCATCAGTGAGATGCCGAGGAGGGCGACATACATATGAGAAAAGTCCCTTCAAAAAACAGATATAACGAGCCAAAACAATAATAATCTCTCCGCCACACATAGTCCACCTCAAACCACCTCCCAAACTAATTTCGAATATTTCGACTCTCTCTCTCTCTCTCTCTCTCTCTCTCTCTCTCTCTCTCTCTCTCTCTCTCTCTCTCTCTCTCTCTCTCTCTCTCACACNCACACACACACACACATACACACACACACACACACACACACACACACACACACACACTGACCAGTGAAAGATGCTACCTTGAGCAGTTGCAGGTCACAAACAGGAAGCCCGGATGAGGGTGAAGTCCCCAAGCTTTGGCGTGAAGGTGAGTCCACCTCTGCCCTACACCTCTACTGCTGTGAACCTCCACTCTCGTCAATCCTCCCCTCCTAACTAGGGCTACTGCATCTAGAGCTAACGCACTACCTCTAGCACTCCAGCACCCTGGCAGCAAACCAAGCCCAGCTATATGCTGCTGCGCCACAACCTACTCTCCGGGACATTGGATCTAATGGCATCGAATTGTCCAGGAGAGTGGCCTAAATCCTGATCCAGTGGCCCAGGACAAGAAAATGTGTGGCCTGCGCCCCTACCGCCCAACCAGGCACACCTGCTGACTCAGCAGCTACACCTATTGGACAAAAAAAGGTCCAGCCCTAACACAGACAAAGTCTCCCACAGTCTGCGATGGCCAAAACGTGTGAGCCAGCCCCACCCAGTGATCCGATCTGGCACTTGCACCTGTCTCAGCATCAGAAACTCAAAACGGCATTATACCAGAACAGAAAAAATTGGAACACACCTCGCAAGAAAACGAAAAACCTAAGAACCTGAGAAGACTCGAAGCATGCAAAAAAGAATAAAAACAAGTCATGCCGCATCAAAGAATGAACCGTGGCCGAGAAAACAAACCACAGCCACGCACGCCGCCATAGTAGCACCCAAAATCATGTCCGGGCCCCCAGGCCCCATGTGGGAGGTCCGCGCATGCCATAGCTGAACAGTCGGGAGGCAAGTGGGCACACACAAGCAAGGTCACGCCAAGTAAAACAGAACCATGATGAGAACAGAGAGATAAGACAGAGAGAGAGAGAGAGATAAGACAGAGAGAGAGAGACAGACAGGCAGACAGACAGACAGACAGACAGACAGACAGACAGACAGACAGACAGACAGACAGACAGAGAGTTGAGAGAGAAGGGTGGCAATAAATGATTGGTGAATACTGGAAGAATGAGTGCAAGAATGATACGTGTGAGAATGCTGGGAGAAAATGCTAAGATAATGCCGAGAGATTACTATTGCCTTAAGCGATGGCAGAATCATGCCGCAGAATTATTTCTCTGTCCTTGTCATCAGTAAAGGCAGGCAGGGTAGGTGGGGGGGGAGGGGGAAGGGTGCGGCAGCAAGAAAGAAAGAGAGATTATCCAGAGCAGAGCTGTGCACCAGCTGCATTCAGGGACGGCATCATGATGCATCAAGTTACTACAATGAGATGTGGGGCATTCGAGTTTGGTGGGTTTACGTGAAGAGTTCAGTTTCGCTTGGTAAGCCTATCGTTCCCCTAAATCCGTTGGGCATGAGGAGAGTCCGCGCCAAAGAGAGTAGAAACACCAAGTGAACCGACCTTGCAGAGCTGCAGGCATGAGGAGAAACAAGTCCGGCAAGAATAAAACTGCCGTTTTGCTGGCTGGATTGAGTCCTCAACAATCAGGAAGGGTTGCTGATGCCCTGTCGATCTCGAAAAGAAGAACAATAGAGAGGAAAGAACTTGATGAACACTTTGTCCGTTAAACTTCGCCTGTTGGCGATAGCGAGGCAGATAGAGTGAGAAATAGTCGAGCTGCCCAAAAGTATTATAATGACAAACTAATACTAAAACTACGCTGCCCAAGCAAATTTTTTGCTTACACGGATGCACGGGAGTGAATAGCGTGGGTGGATCGTGACCTAGCTTTGCAGTACAGATTGTCATTTGATCATCGAACAAGCATCAGCAAAAGAAGCAGCGAGAAAAGAAGCAAAGACAGCAGCAGGAGCGACAGCCAAAGCAAAGGGGCAAAAGATGCAAAACCAACCAAACATGAAGAGAACTCAACACAGGGACAATAAAGTGTACGCATCGGCAGAGCTGACTGCAAGGACAGGGAACAAAGAACCAAAACGAAGAGCAGCAGAAACGGCATAGGAGCAGCCAGAGAAAGGGGAAACCGACCATGCAATGGAATGTGTATCTGCTTCACCCGTTGCCATGTCTAATACTAAAATCAAGAATCATAGACATATTCATACTTTGACAGTACGGTATTCCTCTTTTTCTGAAAGCGTATATATTGTCACATGAATATGAGAGCGCAAAGGCGAAGAAAACAAAAGAAAACAAGAAAAAAATAATTCGTTTTTTTATCTTCTTTCTTACAACTCCCCTTGTTCAGAACCTCTTGCGTACAAGACCGCCCACGTGGATGTAGGTTGCGCCGGCTGCCCCCACCCCCGTGTGTCATATCCACCCACTTGCACACAGCTAAAGGGCAAAGAGGCAAAGAAAAGAGGAAGGGAACAGCCAAATACAACAAAACAGGGGGCAACAAGCAATAGCACCAAAAACGGATCCTAGATGACAAGTCCCACATGCAAGCGCCGCCCCTCCTTCACAGGCCAAACGACAGGACAAGACCACCCAGGACAAAACTCTTGTCTGCAAAAAAAGAGAAATCCCAGATTACATATCTATATACAGCAGATGGCCTTATTCGTCATCAAGACGTGGGTATTCCCATTTGTAAACCGTTCTTACTGCGACAAAAAACATAAAAGACAATCCCAGATGATGATTCCCACATAAAAGCACCGCCCCCTCACACAGGCCGAACAACGGGAAGCAACCAACTAGGATGCTAAGACAATAAAAGAGAACCCGGAGGACTGGTCCCACATGAAAGCACCGCTACACTCGCCGAACTAGACCAAACAACGGGACAAAAACAACCGGGGTGCAGATAAGGTTACCTTCTACCATATCCATAGTTAAAAAAAACGGAACCATACAGTAGGTCCGCAAAATGAAATACCCCATAAATGGGGAAGAGTAAAGCAAAAAAAGAGAAATGATAACAAGAAAATCAGGAAAATATTTTCTACCATAACCAAAGAAGAGCCTGCTAGTACAGGCCCAACGCTCGCCGCATCATCTACAAAAGCAGAGAGCTAGCAACGTCGGAGTATATATTGTCACATGAATACATATATATATATATATCGTCAAATAGAATATACATATATATCGTCACAAACAGAACTGCCCGGTAAAACCGTAGGCAGAGAGAGAGAAGAGGACAACAAACGAGGGGCTGTGACAAACTGTTTCGTCGGAGTTTCACCGACTCATCAGGAGGCTGAATATATATATACAGCCTCCTGATGAGTCGGTGAAACTCCGACGAAACAGTTTGCCACAGCCCCTCGTTTGTTGTCCTCTTCTCCCTCTCTGCCTACGGTTTACCGGGCATCTCAGTTTGACTATATATATATGTCATCACAAAGTTATCAGAGCGCAAAAGCGAAAAAAACAAAGAGAACAAGAAAGGTATCAATTCATATTTTATCTTCTTACTTACAACTCCCCCTGTTCAGAGCCTCCTGCGTATATTTATATATAGAGAGAGAGAGAGAAGAGACGCGACATAATATAAGAGGGGAATGTAAACCATGGACCTTGTTGCCAGAAAAGGATAACTCTCAACACTACCCATTCCACAGGGCTTGAACTGCTGACCAGGCTGGGTAGGTCTCCACCTTTCTCCTAGCAATCCACTCTTCTTACGGCATTCGGCATGACAGCCCTCCCTCTCAAAACAAAGGAAAAGAAGACGATGAGAAAGTAGAAGAAAGAAGATGAAGAAAGAAGACAAAGAAGAAGCAACAACAACAACAATAAAGGAGGAGAAGTGTGTACGCTGATAAAGGGAGCAGGCTGACTGACATAGTTGTATGCTATACCAGTCAGCCTGCAGATCGATGCAGAATCAGTAAACTTTGACAAATCAAGGCAGAATCGCAGTGAGGGCAAGAGGACCCGAATTATACGGCCACAGCACACAACCAACCTCTTCAACGCAGCAGCCTTCTCCATGACTGCTCAAGAATGTTTTGTTTCAACTATAGCTTTGCCGCAACAAATGCAGGAAACGAGAACAAGAGAGAGGATGCGGAGTCCAAATAGCGACAAAGAAGCAGGAGGTCTCAGTACCGTGGACAGATGGCAGAAACATCCAACACAAGAAATACAAGTTCACACACAAGAACCTCTCCCAATAGGCAAATGTCCATACCTACCCTGTTCCAGAACCACCGCAGGAGCACAAGCGCGCTCGAGAGTTAAGAGAGCCAACCACCTTGAGCTAAGGTTGTCTAGCTTTCCATCACTTCCGTCAGCATCCCCAGGTGGCCCTCCCCACTTCTCAGGTTGCCTTTTTCCAAAGAGTGCACTTATCTTTGCTATCACCGCATCTCCAGCCTTATCTGCCTTCAGATGCACACGTCTTTTATCTTTCTCTCCCTTCCCACGACCAAAGCCACTCACAACGCCACCAACAGCAGCAGGAGGTGAGTTACCACTATCCTTCGGTGTCAATGACAGCAGCTGCAGCAAGAACCGGATGCACACTGTGGAATCGATCATATCGTCATCCCGGCCCTGGCACATAGCAGTCGTTTCACAGCGACAGCAACACCAGCACCCCAGAGAAGTCAGGCAGCCAACACCACGGCAAAGTATCAAAAGGCAGATGTGTTACCTGTCCTCTGCAAAAAGAACGACAATAAAGCACTTACAGGTCCACATCTGTTTCTTACAGGTTGTCAGAGATGCCTCCAGGACTGCAGAGATGGCCACTACCTGTTGTGCAACCTACTTACACCTATTCTCGAACAGCAAAACAGCAGTTTCCCTTCGTTGATATTCAGTGCTCCCTTCCCCCATCTTGACCAGCAAATTCGGTCCAGTGACTCCAGTCAGATATTGACATTCCCAAAGACCAGAGGCCGTACAGCACTGTAAAGCACACAAAGGCTCTCTCTCTCTCTCTCTCTCTCTCTCTCTCTCTCTCTCTCTCTCTCTCTCTCTCTCTCTCT